TACGTTGTGTGTGTATTTGCTAACGATATCAGTTCATCACAAAAGACAATGACATTCTTAACGACACACAAAATAGACTTGAAAACATCGTCAGGGTTTTGTAGTCAAGAGATTTTCCCTTAATATTAGTAGGAAATACAGCCATTACGACTATATAGTACTTGGAAAGATGTTGCAACACCCTTCAAGAGGAAATATTTTTTAAGCATGTCTTGGGTCCGGCTAATTACCAGCGAAGAATGAAACAAGGAAGCCCGTAATTTACCTCCGGAAGTTTGTGGTTTCTGGTAGTAAAACTGGAGTTTTCCTGTGTGTGTGTGGCTTGTTTATCTTGTAGCTGCTGTGTGTGTGTGTAGCTTGTTCACCTTGTAGGTGCTGTGGTAGCTTGTTCACCTTGTAGGTGCTGTGGTAGGTTGTTCACCTTGTAGATGCTGTGGTAGCTTGTTCACCTTGTAGGTGCTGTGGTAGGACTCACTTGGCTACAGTTAATAAGTGATTAATGTTTCACTTGTGAGTAAGTTGCGGTCAATATTGCACTTATTCCGTGGGCGGTGAGTGCTTCCTTTGTCTTGAGTGTGTGGCCTCCAGGAAGCCAAGTAGCACAAGGTTGTCTGTCAATAGGTAACTCAAAACAATTGTCTTCGCGTTGCTGGAAACACTTGAGCAAATTGTTTGTACAACACAAGGGGTCAAGTTGTATAAGTTTACCCTATTAATATCGTTACCTGTTGCTGGTGTGTTTGTTGTTTTGGTGTCCTGAGACGTCCAGACTCCCAGGACTTACGCCCAGTGTCCTAGGACTTAGGCCCAGCGTCCTAGGACTTAGGCCCAGCGTCCTAGGACGTAGGTCCAGCGTCCTAGGACCCCACACAAAGCCTCCCAGGTCTTGGTGGTCGTGGTCGTCATGTGTAGCTGAATATATTTACTCTCGTTCATCAGTTGGTGCAGCAGTCCTGGCAGGCGCTGGGACACCCATGGAGTGTGTTGTGTATCTGAAGCTTTTGCGCGTGTTTCCTACCAGGACGGAGTTGTGCGGTGGTGGATATACCCCGCGCGGGTTCGTGCGACGAGTGTTCGTCCATTCGTTCGGCGCACGTGAGTGTATATTTATCGTAGTATGTGCGTGAGTGTTTACCTCTACGTCTGTCACTGTTTTCACTGCACACGTCACTGCTGCAGCCATCATCATCATCACTTGAAGCACTGCCCTCCGGCGCCGCCTTCTTAAACTCTCTAAAATCCACCCCCCCCCCCTATCTCTTCACACCCAATACCATTATCACCCACCACCCACTAACCCTCTCCCCCTCCTCCCCCCCCTTGACCATTCACTACACCTCCCCCTCGCCCCCCCGTTACAACCTACAACCCCCCCCCCCCCCACCACAAGCACAATCTCCAGGGCATTGTCTCTTTTAGGTGAATGAACATTAAGTGGAGCTTAAAGTGCCTGGATCACTATCAAGGCTGACTGTACTCCACCAGCCGTAGTGACCTTCTAGTCATGGGAACACTTCTCTCACCTTGTGCAGGGACAACATGCGTGGGTATATATGTATGTACTGTGTACCGTAGTACCTGCGTAGCTACTGATTTACAGACAGGTAAGATCACTCACCGTGTCTCCCCCATCACAGTGGGAGTAGTAAGGTCTTGACTAATAAATGTTCAGTGGGTTCAAGAGTGTTAATGCCCTCTCTAGCTCAAGTAAGCACTTCTCTGACACTCTCCTGTATGTCTAAGCAACCCGCTTGTCATCCTGAGTGTATATGCCACTGATTACTTTCCCTTGACAGGTGTCATGCCGGTGGTGGTGGTTATGGTGCAGCAGCAACACTACAACTACCACCATCAACACCAGCACTACCACTACCACCAACACCACCACCACCATCAACACCAGCACTACCACCACCACCATCAACACCAGCACTACCACTACCACCACCACCACCACCACCATCAACACCAGCACTACCACTACCACCACCACCACCCCACCATCAACACCAGCACTACCACTACCACCACCACCACCCCACCATCAACACCAGCACTACCACTACCACCATCAACACTACCCCTACCACCATCACCACTACCACCATCAACACCAGCACTACCACTACCAACACCACTACCACCATCAACACTACCCCTACCACCATCACCACTACCACCATCAACACCAGCACTACCACTACCACCACCACCACCCCACCATCAACACCAGCACTACCACTACCACCATCACCACTACCACCACCACCACCACCACTACCACCATCACCACTACCACCATCAACACCAGCACTACCTCTACCACCATCACCACTACCACCATCACCACTACCACCATCAACACCAGCACTACCACCACCACCACCCCACCATCAACACCAGCACTACCACTACCACCATCACCACTACCACCATCACCACTACCACCACCACCACCATCACTACCACCACCATCAACACCAGCACTACCCCTACCACCATCACCACTACCACCACCACCACTACCACCATCAACACCAGCACTACCACCACCACCACTACCACCACCACCATCAACACCAGCACTACCCCTACCACCATCACCACTACCACCATCACCACTACCACTACCACCACCACACAAAACAAAAGATGTCTCAGTAAGAGCAGTATTGACAAATATGTTACATAGTGTGTGAGTGAAAGTTTTACAAAGTAACTAATGTGTGTCTTCCTCCCCCAGTGCTCCTCCAAGCCCAAGCCCTCTTCTGCCACGCCTCCTCCCGTTCCTCCACGCCCCTCCAAGGTAAGTGATGGCGCCCATGGTGCTATATACCAACTCCTCCCAACACTCTAGTACATATAGCGACTATGGACGGATAGCACACTTACGGGCTATTCATGCCCGTGCCACCTCTTGGGTGGCTTAATCTTCATCAATCGGATAGCACACCACGGGAAGGAAGGAAGGAATTATCAAGGGAAAGCGCCAAGCCATTACGACTATATAGCACTGGGAAGGGGTCAGGATAAGGATTTGGGATGGGACGGGGGGAAAGGTATGGTGCCCCAACCACTTGGACGGTCGGGGATTGAACGCCGATCTGCATGAAGCGAGACCGTCGCTCTACCGTCCAGCCCAAGTGGTCGGTAAAGACATCTCCCGTCACACAGGGTGCAGTCGCACCTCCACAGATCTCCAGTATCATCTAATGATACTGATAATGGCTCCAAAGGACCACCACTTACGGGCTATTCATGCCCGTGCCACCTTTTGGGTAGCTTAATCTTCATCAATCATCAATCAATCGGATAGCACACAATATGGACTCTGCCTACCCATAATGTGTACACAATCATAGAAATAATAATGGCAATGAACACTCAATAACAGTTCAACTATAAGCCTAACTTGTCCTAACTTATCAGCCTTAGGTCTATTTTAGTGCATATATGTACTATACTAGGCCTAGCAAAAGCTAGATTTGCTTGTTGCCTTCTTTCCCGGACCTTTCTTTCCCGAATTGCATCAATATCTTTTCTGACATTGATGCAATTGATAATTACTGATAATGACCATAATCAATATAAGATTTGGATTATTAATAGTTATCTTGAGATGTTATCTTGAGATGATTTCGGGGCTTTAGTGTCCCCGCGGCCCGGTCCTCGACCAGGCCTCCACCCCCAGGAAGCAGCCCGTGACAGCTGACTAACACCCAGGTACCTATTTTACTGCTAGGTAACAGGGGCATAGGGTGAAAGAAACTCTGCCCTGGGAAACGGCGCCTGGGATCGAACCCAGGACCACAGGATCACAAGTCCAGCGTGCTGTCCGCTCGGCCGACCGGCTCCGTACATATAAACACTACGGGAGTTGTCAGTGTTATAATATAGCAGTGTGTACCTGTCTGTCACCTGTAATCAGATGATAATACGCTGATTGCCTCGTCAGGCTTCACACCAGCACTTTATGTATCGAAATTATTTATTCTCAGTAAGGCAATGCATAAATTTACATCTTATTGGAAGTCAATTTTCCCCGGACCAAGATTGGTCGACCCGAGAGTATTATTGCTGGCAATGTTGACTTCAATTTTTGTTATCATACTAAGTTACTTACTGCCAGATTCACGAAGTAGTTACGCAAGCACTTACGAACGTGTACATCTTTCCTCAATCTTTGACGGCTTTGGTTACATTTATTAAACAGTTTACAAGGTTAAAAACTTCCCAATCAACTGTTGTTATTGTTATCACAGCCTCCTGGTGCTTCGGAACTTTTTAACTGTTTAATAATTGTAAACAAACCCGCCAAAAATTGAAAAAAAGATGTACAGGTTCGTAAGTGCTTGCGTAACTGCTTCGTGAATCTGGCCCCATATCTTGAGCCACTGACGTATTGCACAAGAACGCTGGTATGTAGTTAAGCCTCTTAATATTAGCTTTAATAGTTGATAACAGTGTTATCGTAACCAGGACTATCTTTGTTAGGAGACATGGCTGTGGGAGTGACATGCTTTAGTGAGTTCATATCTCACCTCTTGTCCTCATATCTCAGTTCCTTGTCCTCATAGCCCAGCTCCTCATATCCCATCCAAGTGCTATATAGTTTTACACTTGTAAGTGAAATGGGTTTCGTGTTGGTATGATGTAAACATAAAGGATATATATATATATATATATATATATATATATATATATATATATATATATATATATATATATATATATATATACTATATATACATATATACTGAGAGGTATATACCCCGCTTCTCGGTATACATAGACAGTTTACTTTAGTCCAGGAGTATGTTCAAGACTGAAGTATACTGGCTGGTTGGTCAATAAACTAGTGTCCTGGACTTAACAACCGTCGTTCAGTGGATTGGCCTTGAACCCTACACCGAACCATGTGAACACACAGGGTGGGGGGGGGGGGGGGGTAGGCCTCTGGAACAGTGTTGCAAAGCACATTATGGGAGCCTCAGTCATGCCTGGCAACGGTGAACACATGTTCATCATACACGGTGAACACATGTTCACCATACACGGTGAACACATGTTCACCATACACGGTGAACACATGTTCACCATACACGGTGAACACATGTTCACCATACACGGTGAACACATGTTCACCATACACGGTGAACACATGTTCACCATACACGGTGAACACATGTTCACCATACACGGTGAACACATGTTCAAAACATTCACAATGTCGGGGAGATAAAACACGAATTTTGACTAAGGTCATTAACCACTGTTGATGAGAATGGATATAATACGACTTAGCGTTTCCGGATAATAAAGTTGTGTGTTGTTAGGGGTAGTGAGGCTATAGTGATACCTGATCAACCAGGCTGTGACTCATATGTCAGGCTGCGAGCAGCCGCGTCCAACAGCCTGGTTGATTAGTCCAGCAACCAGAAGGAAGGCCTGGTCGACGACCGGGCCGCGGGGACGCTAAGCCCCGGAAGCACCTCAAGGTAGGCTTGGAGAAGTGGCCCCGTAGGAGCGGGTGTCGAAGGCTGGGGGCCGGGAGACACAGGATGCCTTAATTGCCAGATTCACTTTCTTTAGGCCAGGTGTTGTGTCACACACCTGGTACCACACCTGGCCTGTGTGTTTGCTCGTTCACGGTGTGTTGAGTGCGGGGTGAAGGCCGCTACGCCGTGCACAGGCTACATACAGGCTACATATAGGCTACATACAGGCTACAGGCCACACTGTAACCTGCCGCTCGTCCTCTCGATACGTGGCGTTTTGCACCTTACAGTAATCAACGTTACAAATATAACCTGCTGTATAAAAAGTAGCGGCTCACAGATATTTACATTTTCTATGCATCGGACTCCATACTTTAGGTGGGTTGCTTCGATGTGAACGTTGCTGGTTAGGCCACGAGGTTGGATTTTGAACGGAGTGGCCGAACCGTCTGGTGCAGCATCTGTACGGCAGGTTTCTGAAGAAACTTGGTATAAACAACTTGGGGAAAGTTAGGTAATTACCCTCCCCCATATCCCCCCCCCCCCGTCCCTGTTGGCTTGTTACGCCACCTTGCCATATGTTACCCACACCTGGCTCAGTTATACATGGCTCCTGGTTTATATAATGTCTCGGGCGGTCTGGGCGCCCTGTGAGCCTGGCTTGTGTGTATGTGTGTGTATATGTCTGGGCGCTCTGTGAGCCTGACTTGTGTGTGTCTGTGTTTGTCTGGGCGCCCTGTGAGCGTCCCGTGAGCCTGGCTTGTGTGTATGTGTGTGTATATGTCTGGGCGCTCTGTGAGCCTGACTTGTGTGTGTGTGTGTTTGTCTGGGCGCCCTGTGAGCGTCCCGTGAGCCTGGCTTGTGTGTATGTGTGTGTATATGTCTGGGCGCTCTGTGAGCCTGACTTGTGTGTGTTTGTCTGGGCGCCCTGTGAGCGTCCCGTGAGCCTGGCTTGTGTGTATGTGTGTGTATATGTCTGGACGCTCTGTGAGCCTGACTTGTGTGTGTGTGTGTTTGTCTGGGCGCCCTGTGAGCGTCCCGTGAGCCTGGCTTGTGTGTATGTGTGTGTATATGTCTGGGCGCTCTGTGAGCCTGGCTTGTGTGTGTCTATGTCTGGGCGCCCCCATGATCTTGCTTGTGTGTGTGTGTGCTTGTCTGGGCGCCCTGTGAGCCTGGCTTGTGTGTGTGTGTGCTTGTCTGGGCGCCCCCATGATCTTGCTTGTGTGTGTGTGTGCTTGTCTGGGCGCCCTGTGAAGCAGTCTCACATTCCTAAGATTGGTGGCAGGTCCCCCAGGCCACAGTTGGCGGAGCGGCCGACCTTACCGCCGGCCCGGGTATTCACACTCACACTTTGTATGCATATTCAAGATCAAATAGCTTGGCATGATAGTGTTAAAGCACATCGTTACGAAGGAAAACAACCTCATCAATAAGGCCCAAGCGTCTGTAGGAAGTAAAGTCGTTATGAACCGTATTCCCCTGCACGTTAAAGACTAGTATAGTTTCAGTTGACTTCGCAAACTTTTTTTTGTTATAGTTCACGATATAAGATGAATCGTCTCACAATTCGGGGATCTCGGGTTCAGTTCCCGGCCAGGACAGAAACGGTTGGGCCTTGTTTTCTGCCACCTGATGCACCTGTTCACGTAGCTGTAAAATAGGTACCGGAGAGTTGGGTAACTTGTTGGTTGCATTCTGGCGAAGGTTAGGTGCTTACATTGAGGTGCTTCCGGGGCTTAGCGTCCCCGCGGCCCGGTCGTCGACCAGGCCTCCTGGCCTAAGGGGACTTCCATAAGCCTAAATACAGGCTTCCTGTCCCAGACAACGGGAATTAAATGTTGCTACTGGTCGGTTTGGGCTGTGTACACGAGTGTACACGAGTATACACGAGTATACACGAGTGTACATGTCTGCACCACCGGCTGACGTCTGTCTGGCCTCATGTAAAAATGTCAACAAAGCTACTCTCACACCTTTATTAACTACGTAATTGTGAAATACAACTATAGACACCTATTATTGTCAAGAGGTTTATAAATATTTCATCAAGAATAATATTTGACTTGAGAATGTTAGAGAGGCGTCGCAATTTAGTCTGGTGTAGGCAGAGCAAGTTCTCCCTGAGCTCATTGTGTGACTGTAGCAGAAAACATCAGGGGGTTCTGTTCACCGTATTAAATTGCTTGCGGTTCTGTTCCTGAAATTTCTTTCGTGGTTCTCGGTACATTATGGGTTCAACGGTGGTTATAATAGGAGCTGCCTCGTATGGGCCAATAGGCCTGCTGCAGTTCTCATTACTACTATCCCCTACACCTGACTTTCCTCCTCAGCTCTCTCTTGCCTATTTAATTCCTGTCCCTACCTGTCCTCATCACAATCGACTTGAGAATGGTCCAGGACGGACCGAAACGTCGTCGTCTCTTCAACTTCTAGTGTGTGGTCTGGTCATCATACTTCAGCCACGTTATTGTGACTCATCGCCTGCATTATGGGTTCAGTTTCTGAACCCATAATGTACCTCTGTGAGCATAAAAGCCTATATGGTAGACACTAAGAACTAAAACACCATTAACCGAGTAGCTCCTCATTCTAGAGGGGTATCAACGTTTAAGGGATTTGTTGACAAATAAACACTATTGTTTATCAGTTACTTACGTGGGAGAGTGGTCTTGGCGGTGGTGGTGGTTGTGGTAGTGGTCGGGGCGGCGGGGGTGACCGTGGTGGAGGTGGTGGTAGTGGTGGTGGTGGGGATGGTGACCTTGGGTGGCGGTGTGGGAACTGTAGTCGGCACGGCGTGTCTCATGTCTGGAGCACCCATGGAGTCGTCCACCTCCCCCGACGACCTGTGGTGTTGTTGTTGTTATAGATTCAGCTACTCGGAACAAGTTCCAAGTAGCACTGGCTAGGGTGAGCCCGTAACTTACCTGGCACAGGTGCGGGGCAAGTAGCATCTTATATATATTATATCTTATATATATTATATCTTATATATATTATATCTTATATATATATATATATATATTATATATATATATATATATATTATATATATATATATATATATATATATATATATATATATATATATATATATATATATATATATCCGCTATATAAAACATATTAGGACCGGAGGTAGTGGCAGAAAAGCCCAACTGTTGTCCTATGTTCTTGGATACTTTGACACCAAAATACGAAGCTCCTTATCCTAGTCTAAGAAAAAACTTCAATAATTACTTCAATAAAAACTTGGTCAATAATAAAATGCTATGTGATGCTAGGCAAAACTGGGGAATCGCACATAGCAAAGTGTACCCAGTAAAATTTATTTATTTATTTATATTCAAGAAGGTATATTGGGTTTGTGAGAATACATAGCATAGTATTTACAATCTTGTAAAGCCACTAGTACGCGCAGCGTTTCGGGCAGGTCCTTAATCTAGCAGATAATTTTAAGTAGGTAAATTCTAGCAGAATTAATAAAATAAAATTAATAAAATGACCTGTACCTCCGTATATGAGACGCGCCTCACTTGATAAAGTGAGTTTGATCTTCCTTGTAACTGGGTCGGTGTAACGGAGCCGGTCGGCCGAGCGGACAGCACACTGGACTGGTGATCCTGTGGTCCTGGGTTCGATCCCAGGCGCCGGCGAGAAACAATGGGCAGAGTTTCTTTCACCCTATGCCCCTGTTACCTAGCAGTAAAATAGGTACCTGGGTGTTAGTCAGCTGTCACGGGCTGCTTCATGGGGGTGGAGGCCTGGTCGAGGACCGGGCCGCGGGGACACTAAAGCTCCGAAATCATCTCAAGATAACCTTGTAACGTTAATATTCCTTGTAACCATAGACCTTCGCCTTTTGGCTCAGGAGACCTTGGTTAGCTAAATTGGCTTAAATCCGAAACGTTATACGTACTAGTGGCTTTAGGTATTTTCTCTATCTTTAAATCCATCATTATGTATGTAACTCAATGGATATACCTTTACCTGAATAAAGAGTCTAAATCTGAGAATTGGCTTCCTGGCCACGACAGCAGCAGGATGAATATTTAAGTCAGTCATAGCTTGTATCGTTCTTTATAACGCCAGAAAGAAAACGTGTAAATTATTGGAGGATAAACTCTTAGGAGTTTACTTTCAAAACCTTTTTAATTTGTAACAAATTCTTTCATTAAAGTACTACTATTGGTAATAATAATTCATTTCGTCGGGGACAGGCAACCTGTGTATACGTTAGACTTATATCGAGGTCCCCCCCCTCCCCAAGGTAGAACTAAAGACACAAAACTGAGCATGTCGACGTCTCTATAACAATCAACAGTCTTATTTATATACAAGAAGGTACATTGGGTTTGTGAGAATACATAGCATAGTACTTACAATCTTGTAAAGCCACTAGTACGCGCAGCGTTTCGGGCAGGTCATAAATCTAACAAATAATTTTAAGTAGGTAAATTCTAGCAGAATTAATAAAATGATAACAGATACATTGCAAGAAAAAAACCCACAAACCCACAAACACCCAGCAAGGTGAGACCCAATACCATACATCTCAATCACAACCCAAAATGGTACAGCCATTTCTTATTCCCTCTATCCATTATCCACATCTACAGCCTTTTCGCCTCCTGCTTTGTCCAGCCGTACCTCCCTTGTGGCCATTGTCTGTAACGCTGCGACTGGTCCAGGCTTTACAAGATTGTACCGTGTAACGCTGCGACTGGTCCAGGCTTTACAAGATTGTACCGTGTAACGCTGCGAGTGGTCCAGGCTTTACAAGATTGTACCGTGTAATCACCCAAATATGTACTTAAAACAACCAATTCTACCTTCTTGTATATGTATAAATAGATTGAAACGAACAACGCACTATATCACAAACAGTTATAGCTCTCCTTCCAATTAAGTAATTAGCAGAGTTGGAACTGTTAACAATAGTATTACCAATTAAGTCCCAAGTTGGTGCTGCAGTTTGAATAAACACAAAATGCTGCTGATGATGATAAATTAATTCTCCCATTTAAGACTAAAAATGAGCTGATTTTGAATTGGAAATGTTGACTTTAATTCAAAAGACTTAGTTACCTGTTTGGTGAATCTTGTCTGATGTGGGAATATCCCACATATAAGGGAGGCGGTCGGCCGACTTGTGATCCTGTGGTCCCAGGTTCGATCCCGGGCGCCGGCGAGAAACAATGGGCAAAGTTTCTTTCACCCTATGCCCCTGTTACCTAGCAGTAAAATAGGTACCTGGGTGTTAGTCAGCTGTCACGGGCTGCTTCCTAGGGGTGGAGGCCTGGTCGAGGAGCGGGCCGCGGGGACACTAAAGCCCCGAAATCATCTCAAGATAACCTCAAGAATATCCCTGACTGATATAGACCTAATCCCCACACCGATATAGGACTAACTCCCACACCGATATAGGACTAACTCCCACACCGATATGGGATGACCCTCGTTAACAAAATACAAGACCAAAATTACCAGTGCTTCTCCATAAAATAAACTTCAATTAAATCTCAACTCCACAACACACACAATAAGGAGGACACACTGAGGCATATATACCCGCCAAACACACACCGAAACTACGACGTTGGTACAACGTTCGAACAAGTTTTAACACCTAACCAGTTATAACAACCAATATAGCAAGTTGTAACAACGTTCTAATACGTCATAAACACGTTTAGCCAAGATGTAACAACTTTATTACAAGTTGTAACAAGCGGAAAATAGAGATAGTTACGGTTTGTGTTTCCAGGGTATATACAATGGGATCGAACCCGCGTTTCTGGACTCCTCAGTATTTTTGTCATAAATATATCTCGTTTGTGTGATGTGCAGACAATAATCTTTTCGTGTTGTGAACTGACCTGAGGTTGGCCAACTCGGCCTCGTGTTGGCTCTGCTCCGACCAGAGACCAAGTTCCAGCTGGTGTCTGTTGACCTTCAGCACAGCTGACGTGTAGAAGGTGTGGCCTGTGAACTTGCACTTGAAGTCACCTGGCGGGCCACAGTCAAACAGGTAACACGAGCCAGACCCCTGCAATGGGGAGGGAAAGTTGGGTGAAAGTTGTCTGAGTATTACAACAGGTGACTTGAATGAGACAAGTGCCTAAAAACCAGGAACTAAACATGTCTAGAGGAATTACAATAATGTGATACATGCGGGTGATCTATATTATCTTCCTTTATGTCGCTTACTTTGTTTATCTGCCATTTTTGCAGGTTCCTCAATTCTTAGCTTCTTATCTTAGGATAGTTTGCATGCCATACTTCTCAACTTATCCCTCACCTCCTTTCCCCTCACCTTCCCTCTTACCTTACACTGACTCTCTCCTGCTCCTATGTCACTACATGGTAAGGCTCCAGGACAGACCGAATGTAAAAATTCCACCTCAGTTCTCATCAAAACCTTGTGTACCCTGTGTTATCCTTTTTGCGCTACCGCTCACGGGATGAGTCAGCACAACAAACTACCTCTTTCTCTCATTTAATTCCATGTGCGGGTTGGGTTGTTACAGCCACCGAGTTGTGACTCAACCTCTACAACCATGTCCTGTTAGTTAAAATAACGGTCCGCATATTTTTGTTCAGAATTATTTGTCTACGGCTGAGGTAAGTCAGAGAATGTGATTCACTCCGAAGTAAAGGTAGTCAGTCGTCCTTATCATGGGAGATGGAGAGTGAGAAAATATTGGAGCCATACTGTGGGATCAAACCCCCGTCCTTAGACTCCACAGGCGCATGCACTTCCGCTCCAGATACTTTTCGGTTCTGTCGGAAGTACTACCTGGCTGACCTGGAGCATGAAAAGCACTGTTAGATGCCACAAGCCGAGATGTACCAGGTACTTCTTACACACTCGTCCGTTGGTAGTGACGGAGGCCAGACCATGACGCTGGTGGGGGCAACTCCCGATGATTGATTGATGAAGATTAAGCCACCCAAAAGATGGCACGGGCATGAATAGCCCGTTAGTGGTGGCCCTTTGGAGCCATTTCCAGCATCATTAGCTGATACTGGAGATGTGTGGAGGTACGACTGCACCCTACGGTGAGGTCGTGACCTCTGAGCAACTCCCTCCTTGCTTCCTGTTTAATACCTACACCATCCAGGTACCAGATTCAAAACTTCCTATTAAGGCACAACAGAGCACCCCATGCTCTACCCTGTCCACACACCCTGGCCAAGTATAACAGCTACACACCCTGCATATCCTGGTACATCTTTGACCACACATGTGCCACTACTCAGGTGTAGTTTGCCACTACACACGTGGCCAACCCTAGTACTACAATGGCCATGTTGCCCTGCCCAACTGGGCTAACAGCCAGCAAAGGCAGCAGTGAGGGAAGCCACATCAAATCACTCAGCCCTCGTCCCCTCAACAACAGGTCAATATCCGAGTTTATAAAGAGTTCACAATTGTTTCGTTCTTGCACCCGTCCGCCTTCGTGTATTTAAACTGGAGATAGCTTCACAGAAATAATTGAAGAGCGAACACTTTGTCCGACAGAGGACTGGAGTGTCCTGATTGGCTTTCCCCCTTTGGCTTCCTCTGCCTTCCCTTGCCTATCGCTCTCTACTAGCCTTGCCATGGTTCTCCCTGCCTTTTCCTATTTTCTTCTGCCACTCCCCTGCCTTCTTCTGGCGCTGCCTACCTTAGCCTGTCTCTCTTTATCTTCCATGGCCTCCCAGCCTCCGCCCTCTTACACCAACCACACACACACACACACCTGCCTCTGTTACATAAGTCACACACACCTGATATTTCCACTACACATTGTCCGGTAGAGAAACACACTTTCCACTGTAGCATGAAGTTTCTATTTTTATAATTTTTGGTTAACATGTTTAAAGTAACCGGTGGCGGTAAGAGCGTTCTCTGGGTGTCTTGCCTGACTCTTGGCACTGCTGGGGTCACCAGTCACTGAGAGCCTGCTTTAGTGAGCTCCATAAACTTGGTGACAACGTGTCGGGGCGACACTTGTCTTCACTACATGTGTCTTGGCCGACACTACGTAACAGGGAGTCTGATGTGCTCGTCGATATGAAAACTGACATGACACTCGCACACACGTTAGATATGAGAAGCAGGAGGCGGCGTTGCTTGCAGTTCTATGCTTATAGTGGCCTGGCTGGGGTGGTACTGACGATTGGGCTCTCGTGTTCATCAGAGATTCGTGGTTATTTGTAGAGATTGTCACAATAACGGGTTGAAGCCAATAACCCAATCCACATATATGAGAGGAAAGGGACGACGACGTTTCGGTCCGTCCTGGACCATTCTCAAGTCGATTGTGGACGGACCGAAACGTCGTCGTCCCTTCACCTTCTAGTGTGTGGTCTGGTCAACATTTTTCAGCCACGTTATTGTGACTCCTCGTCTGCATGAGAGGAAAGGGACGACGTCTCGACCCTTATCAAGTCGAGACACCTGGCAAGTCGATAGACGAAGCTTACCTTCTCCTCGAAGACGGCGACGTTACAGAGGTGTGTGGCACAGCACAGTGTAAGACAGTCCTCTCTGTTGCCCACGTCTGACTCATTGAGGAACTTGGCCCCCAGCACTCGAGAATCCTGAGTCCTTATAATAGTGCTCTCACTCACTTCAAACTTTTCCAGGCACCCATGTTCGGCACGCACAGATTCGAGAGGGCCGAGCCTTTTGCGATCGTGGGTGAACTCTGCACTATACAACCGCAGAGCCTGACACAAGAGCAGACACACCAACTGTAGCCGCATGGCCTGTGAGGGGACGCCAGCCATGTCTGGTATTGTCAAGTCACACCCACAGTAATATGATCCAACAGTAGCTGCTCGTTGCTCTACTGTCAACAGTCTTTATCAATATAAGATACGAAAAGTCTTCGCCTAATAAAGTTGGCAGCTGTTGTACGAGAGGTAAGAGGAGATGCAAGGGGATTCAAGAGTTTAAACGGAGTGTTGCCTGGGCACTGGATCTCTTATGGAGTAAACATGTGTTATTGATCATCAGGTTCCAGACCCTATTTTATCATACGGGCATCGTGACTCCTGACTTATTTTGGCTTCCAGCTTTATTTTAACATCCACTCCTACTTCATTGTGTTTAAATTGTGCCCCTTGTATTATGGATCACAATCCATTTATACCACAAGGGCACAAAGCTCCTCATACGAAGTGAATATAATTTAAAAGCATTCGGCAACCGTGCAATCTTGCGTTTGGCAGCGGGGCGGTACTGGACACGCATGCGCACTCGACTGTCTGTCATCGACCGGGGCGGACCACGTGCCGGCTTACTAATACTTAGCGGCTTCAACAAACTGGGCCACGCAAATCTACAGCACCCAGAGCTCTACGTCACTCACTCTCTACACAAATGCTACTGTACGCTTCGCATATGTCAGTTGCCTTCCAACAAGCTCTTTTGTTGGAAGACATGCACTATATGCGCACTGGTAGGCGCCAGGTTCCAGAGGGCCATTGACTCGACATATTAGATTAATGTCAT